AACCAATCAACAGGCTTGAAAAGCTTGTCGTAAAATAAAACGAATATTAGCCTTTAATTGGAATACTAGCCCCTGTCGTACGACAAAGTTTTAAATTCATTGATTGAGTACCCAAAAAAAAAAAATTCTGACATTTAGCATGTTAATGTCAGAAGATTTTCTATTTATATACGACTTCAAGAAAATGCTTTATAAATTATTTATATTCATGTATGAAAAATTTTTTACCAGGAATCCTCTTAATACTAAAAGAATGTCTTGCATATACTGACATGCATGCATAGCACATAAATGACAATTTTCTGCTAACAAATAAGTATGCCGCTAGTATCTTGTACATCCTCTCCCTGATGAAAATAAAAATCAGAGCGTAAGTCGAATGTAATAGGAGAGTAACAAAAACATAAGAAGCCTTCTAGAAGGCGAAAATTGAAACAATGAAATATAAAAGAAGCATTTACGCTTCTTTTACATTTTAATATTTCAATTTTCGCCTTTTAGAAGTTTCGTTTACGTTTTTATTATTCTCTCATTACATCCAATTTACAATCCGATTTTTATTTTCATCAGAGCTTATTTCAAAAGATTATTTGAATTATTGTAATAGAATTTTCTATAGAAAAATTTATTTTTAATCATAGCTTATGTGTTCTCATTTTTATAGATGAATACGTATTATAAATACACACGCCTGATTCATGTAAAATTTTTCTGCTTAGAGGAAGTGCTAAGAAGAATTTTCCGCTTATCGGTAGAATATTTCTTTGGGTGTATAAGATAGAGAGATTCGACAAATTTTCTTTCTTGCAGCTAATCAATAGGCTTGAAATGCTTTGTAATACGATAAATGAACCTTTGCCTTTTTCTATGAAATTCTTTGAGAATCGTCATTCACTAAATATTAAAAATACCAAAATTACCTATGTGATAAAGTACTTGCACAACGTTGAGAATTAGAGAAAAACGATAATTTATATAACAATCAAAAATTAAATTTCTAATATAATGACATAAGTATAAATAAATACCTTGCATTTAAATCGAAAAGGTACTATACAAAAAATATCCAGATACAGATACAAGTATTTTGCCTATAAAAATCTAGATACTTAGATACAATTAAAGTATCTATAAGATACTGTATCAGATACGTTTTACCTAGAGCGTTTCAACGCTGATGTTAAATAAAAATCAATTGATGAAATAAAACACACGAGTAAAAAATGCCATAGTGTCAAAGTGATCGTATATAATATTATTCGATCATCGTATATAATAATATTTCTTGTGAATTTATACAATTTTCAGTTCAAACAAAATAATGCAATACTTACAAAAGATGTAATAATAGTAGCAGCACATAAATAGTTTTGAAAAAGATAATTAAAAGAAAAAAATAAAAAAAAACATAGAATAAGAAATATAGCTTATACAAACGATTTAAAAATTAACTGATTGCCCAATTTATGTTTGCATGAGCATAAATTTAATGGCGTACGATTGACGCAGTCATTACACTTAGAAAAAATTGTTTGGTATTTTGACTATAGTACACAATATCATATAATAAGATTAAGATGATAGCAAATAGAAGTCATTTCAGGAATCATCATAATATTATCATTTGATACACTTTTTTTTATTTGTTGATGATTTTGTGTAAATTCTTGACATTATAATTTTTAAGAGACTTTCTTGAAATGGCTTTTCATCTTGAATTTATTATTATTTTGTGATCTATCTAGATAATCCTAGACAGCATACAATATATTTATAAAACATTTACAAAACATTTGTAAGATTTATTTTTAATATTTTGTAAATATTTTGATGATCTTAGAGTGTGTACAGATCATAAATATTTATCATAAATATGAAATATTTATAGCATTTACATATTATGTAAATGCTATGAAAATATATATTTAATAAGACATTAGAATCCAAGTAAAGAATATTAATTTATATTTATTATAAATATTAGATAATATTTTCGAATAAATAATACCAAATATTTATGAATTTATGAATATTTATTATTTAAATATTCTGTGCTATCTGGGATTACATAATTACGAAATAGGAACTGTATTTTTATAATTATTATTGCTATAGTGTGTGTTAATAATACGTATTGAAAGTTCTAGCAAAAAAAATATAGTTGGCAAAAATTACTATAAATTATAATTAAGTGTGTGGTAATTACAATTACTTTTTTTTTTAAAGAGAGACAGAGTGTATGTACGTTCGAAGAAAGTTAGCTTAATTTTGTGTCTCTATAGAAAGAGTTCATAACGCTAATTAATTCGATAACATTGCGTAGAAAACATCCTCGAATCGGGAGAAGCAAACGTTAACCGATGTCATCAAAACGGATGTAAGGAATGACGCTAGGTAACCAAGCTGAAAATTGTTGGTTCGAATTCGCGTTAATCTTCGCGTTTATCTTCGGTAACACCTTAGCACTCACGTGTACGCACAGGATGTCTGTGTCGCCACAAGCCTTTAGCTTAATCGTTAAAAAAGATGAGTCAAACAAAAATTAACTTCTAATAAACAGGAAACGTTCTCCAGGTTCCCCTGGAGTTTCGCATTTTCCAAAGAAGGGGGAGATTGGGAAAGAATATCGAGGGATTGCTATATTAAACTAATCGCGCGTTTTCGTAAATATACAAATACATATATGAATTTTCTATTTCCTGTCACGAAACATTCGGGGAAGTGATGTAAAGAGGGCGAATTGTAAGTCCTACGACGTAATCATGTAATACACATAGTTTTGCGTGTTAAAAGACGAACGTAACTTCTGACTAGTTGCGTCACATCTCATTGGTGCACGTAAGAAGCAAATGAGAGATACTTTTTTTATTTTCTGCAGACGTAACGTCACAAAATAAAAATTTCTAACTGATTGATCCCTCTTTTTAAATTGCGTCACGAGAAAATCACATAATGGCTTAATTAAGGGAAAAAGAAATGAGTTGTAATGAAGATTAAGATTGAATCTTGATGATTAAATAATCCTGTATATTAGAAAACCTGGTAATGTATACAAAGTCGTTTACAAAATATTCAACTTATTTCCGCGTTCATCGGTTGACTGCGACTTGCAACATCTAAAAGAATTATTAACTATATGGGATCGCTCAAAATTACTACCAATTTCGTATTTTTAACGCTTTCTCCGATCTCTCTCATTTCTTGAAAACTTTTATTTATAAAGAAATATTAAATTTGTTTTAATTATAATATTATTATAATATAATATGTAATACAATAAAATAACATATATAACATAATAATAATACATTATATTCATTACAA